ATTGGGGATAATATTTTTATCGAGTATCTCGTTCTTTCTACTTTGATGTTGGCTGTATATAGGCAAGGTTCGAAGCCTTCTTTAAGTTCTTACCGAACCATTTTGTCTTCATAAACACAAAATTATTCCGCTTCCCCGTCTCGCTGTGCTATCGTCGGGTCTACGGAAAATAACTCTGCAATGTACCCATGGGATGGTGGATTTTCTTGATTATCTCCCTTTAACCTTTTTTCGGGTGTGGAGGGAGTGAAGTTAAGTTTTCCTTTTAAAAATTTACCTGTGGTGTCAGGAGACGATATAAGTATATTATGATTTCACCACATTGTGATGGGGAATACTCGAGGACAGGTGAACCAGGTAAGTAAGGGCCATAAACCTATAACTTTTATTTCAAATAACAGAATGAAAACTGGATGCCTGGAGGTGTCGTATCTGGCTCGGCGGTTGAAGTGCAATGACGTGAAGTAGTTGAAATGTTTGGCGATGTTAAAAAAAAGAAACGGGTTGGCGAACCGCAGAGAGAGAGAGAGAGAGAGAGAGAGAGAGAGAGAGAGAGAGAGAGAGAGAGTGTGTGTGTGTGTAACTCAAAATCTTTAGCGTAAAAAAACCCAAAAAAACAATGAGACAGGACAAGATAGTCTTAGTTTTAGTAAAAGTTTTACGACATTAACAAAAGCCGAATAGTAGAGTTGTCATTGGAAAGTAATATTTAAAGAAGCTTTAAAAAAAAAAAAGGTGATTGAATGATAAGGAGGTCGATAGATGTTTGACAGGAAAGAAGGAGCAAACCACATCAGCACACCCTTCAGCTACCCACGGATATGGTCTAAGGAATTTAACTCTGCTCTTGTACATAAGTCAGTAAATGGATTTTGATTACTTTTGATTACTTCCCCTGAGACACGCAGCCTTGGGCCAACAACAAATTAATTTGTTAACAGCCTGTTCAAATTAGGCTTATGTACCAAGCCCGGAAAGCAATATTCATTTTTAAAGGGGGGGGGGGACTTTCTTTTTTTAAATTAGATTTAACAATTGTACCTACACTTTATACATTTTCTTGCTTTTTTTTCAAACATTGATTTAATAGAATTTGAATTTCCACAAAATATTTTAATTTCTTGAATAAATGCAATAGATACCACAGACTTCGAAACTGCAATTGTTTTGTGTGTGTTTTTTTGGGGGGTTTTCCAAAATTTTAGATTAAGTCAGTTCATCTGAAGAGCTGGCCCAGGCTATATTATGGTGAATTTTACGTCGGAATGCGTTGATTTCATAAAGTTTAAATCGTTACTTTTGATGCGATTTTGATACTACCAATGTATTATGATCTATCACGTATTTTTTGGTTGCTGGTTTTTCGTTGTTGTCGGTGTTGTTGGTAGTGGTGGTTGGTTGGGGTTTTTTTGGTTTTTTGTTGTTGTCGGTGCTGTTGGTAGTGGTGGTTGGTTGGGGTTTTTTGGGGTTTTTGTTGTTGTCGGTGTTGTTGGTAGTGGTGGTTGGTTGGGGTTTTTTTGGTTTTTTGTTGTTGTCGGTGCTGTTGGTAGTGGTGGTTGGTTGGGGTTTTTTGGGGTTTTTGTTGTTGTCGGTGTTGTTGGTAGTGGTGGTTGGTTGGGGGTTTTTTGGTTTTTTGTTGTTGTCGGTGCTGTTGGTAGTGGTGGTTGG